TGTGGACCCTAAATTGGCCCCATCAGCTACGCTTCTAAGAAATTGAAATTGATTTTCTTTAGTGTGGTCTGTTTATCAAATTGAACTAAATTTATGAGTTTGTTGAATATCATGTGGACGAATGATAACAGGTATAAACATGAACAGTTAATGATTGTTTTACTGTGCTTGCATCTGATTTCTGAGAATCTAACAAGTTGGGCTGGTACAGACATGCATGAATCCTTGCTACAGTATATTGCATTATATTATTCAAAATATTAATGCTGCTCCAAACATGCATGCCTCAGGTCCTCTGGGTGTAAATTGTCCTCTGGACTGGGATACCAGAATGAAGATTGCACTTGATGCTGCAAGAGGACTTGCATACCTACATGAGGATTCACAACCCTGTGTGATCCACAGAGATTTCAAGGCATCCAATATATTGCTCGAGAACAATTTTCAGGCTAAAGTTGCTGATTTTGGACTTGCCAAACAGGCGCCTGAAGGCAGAGCAAATTATCTGTCTACACGTGTCATGGGAACATTTGGGTTTGTTTGAGTCTCTCTCTTCTTAATTGTATGTTCCCAATTTGATGGGCATTGAGATGAAATGGTGTTGATTTATAGGTATGTAGCCCCTGAGTATGCTATGACCGGACATCTACTAGTAAAGAGTGATGTTTATAGCTATGGAGTTGTCCTCCTTGAGTTGCTGACTGGAAGGAAGCCTGTTGACATGGCACAGCCATCTGGTCAAGAGAACCTTGTCACTTGGGTTAGTAGGATACTGACCATTTCAACCCATCATTAGAATTCCTGGTTTCATAACTTGATATTTGGCAATATAAAAACATCTCACAGTTATTAAAATTCTGGAGCGGTTAACAAATTCTCTTTAATTGCTTTCAGGCCAGGCCCATTCTGAGAGACAAGGATCGGTTAGAAGAGCTTGTTGATCCAAGGCTTGGAGGAAAATATCCGAAGGAGGATTTTGTACGAGTTTGCACAATTGCAGCAGCTTGTGTGGCCCCCGAGGCAAGCCAGCGACCAACTATGGGTGAAGTGGTTCAGTCTCTTAAAATGGTGCAGCGTGTAATGGAATATCAAGATTCCATGTTAGCCCCCAATGCCCGGGCCAACCTGAGACAGTCATCTACTACCTTTGAATCTGACGGGACATCTTCAATGTTCTCATCTGGTCCTTACTCTGGTCTAAGCGCCTTTGATAACGACAACATCTCTCGGACAGCAGTTTTCTCAGAAGATCTTCATGAAGGACGATGAATATCTCAAAGGTAGTCAACTTGGAGACTTTACTTAGTTTGAAGTTTTCATTTGATGTCCCAATACAACAATGTGAGGAATTTGAAAAGTTCAAAGTGGGGCAATATTTATTAGGATTTCTTTTTGGGATAGATTTTGTAGTTGTGATTGGTTGGAAGTTGGGGAGTGGCTGTTTTTTGTGTTGCCTTGTGGATGACCACTGTTAAGTTCTCCTGAAAGCAGTGTAGCTATTCTCTACATGGCTGATGAAATTTTGTATATATGCCTCGTAGCTTGCTATATTGGATGGCCTTCAAGGGTCCTTATTTAATCTTCACCCTTTCTTTTACGAGTTATTTATAACTCACGCTTGTAGTTTCACAAACCCATTTATGACATAGTCCTTCTGTTAATGCCATGTTCTTTTCAGATTTATTGTGTTTTTTTTCCTTAAAGATATTGAATAAAGAAAAGAAAGTTAAACGAGATGGAAAATTTTGACGAGCAAAAAGGTATTTTTTGGAGCAAAAAACAAGTAAATTGAGATGGTAAGTGCTGCTTGAAGAATTATTCTTTTAGCCTGCAAAATTTAAAGTTGCTTCTCCGGTAAACATTTGGAAACTGATTCAGATGTCAAGGAAACAATGCATTACAATTGCGTAGACAGACTTGCATGTAGCATCACCAAGTTGAAGTTGACTGGCAGAGTGGCCTCCTGTAATCATCTTTTGGCTCTCATTTTCCTTCCTCGCTTTTTGTCGAGGCCAGGCAGAACAAGCTCTTTGTTGAAAACCACTTACTTCCATTGCAACCTGAGCCATTGAATTCCATACCCTTTAAAATAGTAGAAGATAAAAAAAACAAGAAAATTAGGATTAATACGTGTATATCATAGTGTCAAGCAAATCACAGATACACTTGATTGTAGTTCATGAACTGGTTAATGTTAACGAGTGAATTTGTTATCTAAATCCACCAAAAACCATGTGGACGATAGCTGCAAAGTTTTGCATCGGTTATGGAAAATAAATAGGAACCCTAATTTCTGAGTTGCCTGGACATGGCAAGGAAGAACAAGACAGCATTTCGAAAGGGGGAAAAAAGAGAGAAGGATGAGGATGGATAAAGCTCTGCACTTGACGCTTTACACCTTTGTGAACCTATTCCGGGAAAAACAGAGTTTGGATGATGTAACTCACCACTAATATATTATCCATACAAAAATAGATACACCAAACTTACAGCATTGGCAAAATTTGCTTGGTAATCCTATTTTCTTGGATAACCCAGTCAACCCCTCTAAAGATCCCATAAATATATATTTGCCTGTCCTCATTTTGTCTCTCCATTTCTACTCTTTTCCCAGCGAAGATAATGGTGCTTAACAAGTTCATCCTTCTCCTCATTTCCTCTCCTCTTCTCTCATTCGTTGCCGAGGGCATTTGTGTCCCTCGTAACGTCAGCAATCCTGAGGCTACAGGGCCTGCCTTCGTCCTAGGACCGGCCTTGTCTTTCCCATCTTCAGCACCCGTTCAGGCCCCATTACACCCGACAGATCCCTCCCCCTCCCCACAAGCTTCCTCCCCATCACCAGCTGTTTCTCCAACAAAATCAATATCGATATTGCCACCACCATCCAACAATTATGCACTGACGAAAATATGTGGCCTGACCGATCACCCAGCAGAATGTATTGCCACCATTGCTCCTTTCCTAACAGGAAAAACTGATCCCATTTCAGTCCTTAAACTGGGAATGCAAGCTCTCCACAAAAAATTTGAGGAAGCCACTGCCGTTGCCACAAAACTAAACAAGGATCCCTCTTCATCAGCCGTGGTTAAGGACTCCCTGGACACATGCCTAGAGTCTTTTGATAGCGGAATGTCTGACCTCAATGATGCTTTGATTGCAATTTCCTCCCACGACATTGGAAAGCTGAGTACAATGCTTAGTGCTACCATAACATACCCTGATACCTGTGAGGAAGCGTTTGCTGAGCAATCAGGACTCGATTCGCCAATGAAGGAGATGGATCGGAAGTTGACTACGTTGGCTAGCATCAATTTGGCAATTTCAGCATCTCTCCACTGGAGTTAAATTAACTGTTTATTGCTGTGTCTCTTACAGCATTCTTTTGTATAGAGGAATATTATATTAGCATCGCGAGGAATCATTAACATGCTTTCAGCATTTCAAAATAATCCTCTTTGACTGAAAGTAGTATTCCTTTGCTCTATATTCTTTGCTGGTCTTATGCATAACATTTCTTCATTCACACCGAGAACAAAAGCAATAATTACAGTTCATCAAGAAGGCAACAATTAGATTAGCTAAAAGGGGTGGCCTTATCAAGAAGGCAACATAAAATCCTAGCCACCCTGAATTTCTTATGCTACCTTCCAATATAAAACAGCAAGAAATCCATTTCCAGGAAGCAATTCAACAAGCGACTTTAGACTGAAACCCAGAATGAAGGCACAGAGACTGCAACTAGTTCATCATAATCAAGCCACAGCTCAAATCACGAAAAAAAAAAAAAGATTTCCCGTTCTGATCATATCATTAATAATACCTGAATCCTATTCCATAACCACCTAGGAAGCTTTTGGATTCATTGCTCTTAATTTTTTTGATCGAAAAGGAGGTGGTCGCATTTTATTTTTTTTAATGAATGTGATCATAGTTTCTTCGATTATTGTAAAAAATTCACAAAAGCCACAGAGGAAATGGCCAAAAAGCAAGATGAACATAAATCACACACGTCGAAGTAGATAATTTTTTTATTCGCAAAATACCATTCCCTCTTAGCCCCCGTTTAGAAGTGAGGCTTAAAGAAGGTTGGCAAAAATTTTAATTTTTTTTTAAATTTAATTTTTTATATTTTTAAATAGTTTTATGGGATGATATTTTAAAAAATAATAGCTACTACTTCCCAACCGCCTTCCCTGTTTTCTTTAATCTAATTTATTTTAAAAATATTATTTAAATTTAAAAATCATTAAATATAATTTTAAAATATAATTTATATTATTTTTTTAGGATTCTCAGGAAGAAAAGAGGGGATGAGAATAATTTTATTTGCATTTACATTAGTCCACCACTCATTCCTTGTAAACAAACGGCCCCTTACTTCCCTTACCAAAGATTTACTGAGACAAACGAAAAGAAAAGGAAAAGAGAACTAGAATTGGCGAAAAGATCATTTAATGAAAGCAGTCAAGCAAATCAAAGAAACACCCTGCTTGGTGTTTTTCATGACACGGTTCATGTCAACAAATTACCTCTCCAAAAATCTTAGCCACCAGATATTGCTATCTTGTTATCTGAAATCTAACCAGAAACCAAGTGGGGATAGCTGCAAGGTTTATGACTTTGTCCATATTAAGAAAATTAGAGAGCCAATTTCAGGCTTGCCAGGACACGGCGATTAGGAAGACCAAGAAATTATTTTAGAGGCAAGCAAAAATAAGGAAAAAGCTCTGCTGTCATCCTAAATGCTCTTCACTCTGTGTAACTATTCCGGGAAAAATCGAACTTGACGTGATGACTTTTGAATGCCTAAATGCAAAAAATAGTTGAGCAGACAGCCAGACTTCAAGCATGGCAAAATTTGCATGGTTTTCCTGTTTTCTTGGGTAACCCATTCACCACGCCGAAGATCCCATAAATATAATTAGAACGGTTCTCATTGTCTAGATCAGCTGCCATCATCATTCTCTCTCTCCATTTCTTCTCTCCTCCATTAGAAGAAAATGGAACTCAACAAATCCATCCTCCTCCTCCTCGTTCCCTTCCTTCTCTCATTCTTTTCTGAGGTCATTTGCGTCCCTTGCAATGCCGGCAATAGTGCTAGTCCTGATTGCCTAGGACCGGCCTTGTCTTTCGCATCTTCAGAACCTGTTGAATCCCCATTGCAATCGCCAGTTTCTTCAACAGAGACAGAATCCTCCTCATTGCCGTCTCCGGTTTCTTCCCCATTGCCATCGCCAGCTTCTTCAACAGAGACAGAATCCTCCCCATTGCCGTCTCCGGTTTCTTCCCCATTGCCATCGCCAGCTTCTTCAACAGAGACAGAATCCTCCCCATTGCCGTCTCCGGTTTCTTCCCCATTGCCATCGCCAGCTTCTTCAACAGAGACAGAATCCTCCCCATTGCCGTCTCCGGTTTCTTCCCCATTGCCATCGCCAGCTTCTTCAACAGAGACAGAATCCTCCCCATTGCCGTCTCCGGTTTCTTCCCCATTGCCATCGCCAGCTTCTTCAACAGAGACAGAATCCTCCCCATTGCCATCTCTGGTTTCTTCCCCACTGCCACTTTCCTCCTCATCGCCATCTCCAGCTTCTTCCCCACAGCCAGTTTCCTCCCAATCACCGCCTGATTCTCCAACAAATGCACAACCCTTATTGCCATATTCACCTTCCGTTCACAATGCTGTTTTGAAGAAAATATGCGGTGCGACTAGATTCCAAGCAGAGTGTCTTGCCACCATTGCTCCTTATCAAACTGGCGCAGCCGATCCCATTTCAGTCATTGAAATGGGGATACAAGCTCTCCACAAAGATTTTGAGGAAGCCATAGCCACGGTCACGAAACTAAGCAAGGATACCTCTTTATCAGCCACGATGAGGGACTCTCTTGACATATGCGTAGAGTCTTATGAAGCTGGAATCACTGACCTCAATGATGCTTTGACTGCAATTTCCACTCACGACACGGACAGACTGACTCAAATGCTTGGTGCCATAGCTTCATATCCTGAAACGTGTCAGGACGCCTTTCTTGAGCAAGGTGAAGAATCGCCATTGAAGGACGTTGATCAGAAATTGGATATGCTGGCTAGCATCACCGTGGACATAACTATATTGCTCCCAGGAGTCAAAATAATAGAGTAATCCCATGATATGGCAAGGAGTCCTGTCATGCATGTTTTGCACGGAGGAATCGCTAGGAAGCATTAACTTTTGGACGTTTTACCAGTGTTTCAGAATGTCATCTTTGATTGAAAACTTATAATCCATTGCCCTCTCTGATCTATCTATCCATCTAGTGCTCTTATGCATAAATTTAATTGTTCATGCTGATACCCGGACCTTAAAGCATTATCTTTGACCATCCAACTTAAAATAAATTATTTTAGCTCTCTTCAAGGAAGCTTCTATATGGCAGTATAGCTGGACACAAGCAACAGTTTATTGATAACTAATTAATTTGATTTTTCACCTAGTTTTAGCTTGTGTTTAATTTGGTTGCGGCTAAATTTTCCAATATAAACGTGTTCTTTAATCATTTAAAAACATCACTAAACACAATTAAGGATACCTTTTGTTTTTATGAACCATAAGACAGTAAGAGTACTAAGAGGAAAAGTGTACATTCTGTGGCTGTAAAATAGGGATAAAAGTCTTCTATATGCAGCTAAGTACCAATAAGTACTGATTTATTTTATTATATTAGCAAGAACTCAAGCACAGAAAGCTAGCTAGGGAATGGACGTAGTAGATCCGAAACACCCGAGAAATATGTATTTTTTTTGTTTTTATATTTTAAAAGTGTTGTTAAAAATTTTAATTTAATTTATTTAAATTAATTATTATTTTATTTTATTTTAATTTTGTAATATCAAAAATAATTTTTTTTTAAAAAAATTTTAATAAATTTTTATACAAAATACATTTTTAAAAATAACCACCGTTATATTTTTAAATACTCATAAAGCTCCTGGCACGCCACGCTAATATGGAAAAAATATAAACTCTGTAAGAAATAACAACAGGCCCTGCACCCATGGATTAGTTTCGTCTTCATAATTTACTTGTTCATGTTCCCAGCGTTCTTCACAAGGCACACTCACCATCAGCTCTATGGCTTGTGATTGCTGCAGCGGTGCTCGTGGCGAGGCCACCTATGAGTGATGGGTGTCACCTGATCTCCAAATTGTTTTTGGAGAGATGAAGGTAAATATTATTAAAAAATAATATAAATTATATTTTAAAATTTAATTTAATAATTTAAGTTATTGTATTGAGATTGTTTTTTAACGTGGTGTTAGAATTTTAATAACCAAATACATATAAAATAATATAAGTCTGTATAAATTTTAAATTTTAAATTTAAAGAATTTTCAATTAAAAAAATATATTAAAAAATTATTGAGTTAAAATAATTCTTTAACTTATATCATAATAATTTAAAATTTTAAAAGTGATATTACTTCCAAAAAAAATCCTAGAATTTTGTTAAATTAACTTAACTCTCAAATCTAAAAGATTTTTAATTAAAAAAATATATTAAAAAATTATTAGGTTAAAATAATTTTTTAAAATAATTTTTTAATCTATATCATAATAATCTAAGATTTTAAAGGTAATCTTACTTCCAAAAAATTCCTAGAATTTTGTTAAATTAACTTAACTCTTATATTTCAGGATCAAAACGCACACAAAACCTGTTTCAATTTGTTCTGTCCTACCATCCCACCAGCTCCAATTAAAAAGATGTGTTTGATTATCATTATTTAAAAATATATATATATATATATATTTTTTTTTTTCAAAAATATTTTTAAAACATCAAAATAAATAGGCTCTTCCTAGCTTTATTACCCTTAACTTTCCTGTCCTTCCTTCACTGTCAAGTACTAAAATTACATTAAAAAAGGAGTTGATTTATTTTCCAATTCAAACTCTATAAAATAAAATAAAATAAAAAGGAATTCGTTATAATTCCCATGCCCAAATCCGACAGATTCACTTCTTTAGTTTAAAGTTTGAACAAGAACATAAATGTGGTTCATGATGTTATTTAAAAAAATTCTTTTCGTTTTATATTAAAGTTTAAAAATTTGAATTTTCTTTGGTGGTTTGCAAATTTGTTAAAAAATTTGGAGAACTAGCTACAAAGGAATTTAAAGACTTCCTGATTTTTCTCTTCAAGGAGCTCAAATTTCGTGTTTTTAATCTCCATTTTGCAGTACAAGATCTATAAATTCTAGGAATGATTTTTTAATATTATGTATTTTTTAAAAAATAAATTGTAGTTTAATTCATTGTTGATTTTGAACGTGCATAATTGCTGCTATCACTTATCTTAGATATCATGGTATAAATATCTGTCACTATTAATGATACGAGCTGGAAAAGATGGCACGAAAAATATTATTAACAAAGAGGGAAATAATATGAAAGATATCCCATGCTTTTCTAGTATCTCAAATAAGAACGGTTACAATTAAATAGGAACAGAAAACTAAAATCTTTATATTTTTTAAAGTATTTTTTATTTAAATAATATTTTTTAATTTTTTATATGCATATTATAATGATTTTAAAATAATATTTTTTATAAAAACAATTATCGACCACAAAAACAATCAAACAGAGCCACTAAACAGTAATTCAACCCATGAAATAGGAAGTCTTCAAATAATCATCCAATATATATATATATATATATATATATATATAGACAACTTACTTTCCAAAACCATGGAGCAAAACAGGAGAAAGTTTGAAACCGAACAGGAAAAGGAAAAGAAGTTAAAAAGTAAGAGAGTTTGAAACTAAGCCTGTAATAAAAAAAACGCAACTGCGAAGTCAGAGTTCTCCGTGTATAAGCTTCTCCTTGCTTCTTTTACTCTCACCAAATTTCTCCTTACACGATGAGTTGTACGGCAGTCTCAAACTTTGATGATTTGCTGAATTTGGAGTCAATGCACAATTGGCCAGTAAACAAACAACTAACTGATGAGGATGTCAGGAGTTGCCTTACGTTGCCTACTGAAGGGGTCGAAAAGTACATCATGCCAAGATTGCCACCTGAACAGAGTGAAAACCTAGCGAGAAACTCTGGAAAAACTGTCATGGCGGTGTATGATGTTGAGCGAAGCGTTAGGTATGATATGAAGCTTGTAAAAGAGCAAGAAGGTGGATACAAACTTGAAGATTGGGATCAGGTCTCTATGCTTAGAAGAATTCAAGCGAGTCAAGGGATTGGAATGTCGTGGAGGAATGGAATGTTGCACTTCAAGATATTTTCCAATTAGTAAACAGAGCAGCTGCACATCTTTTCCACATTAAAAATCTCTCTGTGATATTTATTTAAAACCAATCAATGTCTATAGTTGCTAATCAGTTTTTTTTCCTTTCTAATGTTGTGTAGCAGGAAAATCCTGCTTGCCCAGGTTGAAGAATATAGAACAAATTGGTGGTCGTGCCGCTTGAATTTAGCTTATAATCTGCATTTTTTCCCTTTTTTCCTTTCTTGTGAGATTGGGATAGTTCCCCATGTTTTGGTTATGAATTAATGCAATCCTTTTCGTTTCTTTTCTTGCAGTTCACTTTGATTAGTGAACACTGTCATGTTGGGAAACTTTTTGATGACTAAAGCCTAATCTATACGCGGTCTGTGATCATTGAATTATCTACCCTGTAAGACTTTATAGCTCCTCCATCGGCAAAGCGAGTCTAATTTGCCACAAAACTAATCATTGAACAAACAGAGGATCTAGTCACGGTGTCACAAGATTAACTTATCTTTGTTGGAGTCTAACACTGGCCATCCAAGATTCTCTAGTAGAAAGCAGCTTCTGATGAAATGAGCCCTTTTTCTACAGTAATGTAACTTGGACGATTAAGAAATACAGAGTGTAGCTCGGACAATCAAGCTAGTAGTTTGATTAGTGTTATAATAGTTGGATGATATATAAAGGTTTTGAGATTGTATAGTATCATTTGGAAGCAATGATATCTAGTAGTAACGTGTTAAGATCTTCAATCAATGGGGTTTGATAGCGCAATCTGTTCCTCAAATTGATTTATAAGAGCCTCGTTCGCATGCGCTGTTTGAAAGAAGAATATTATTTGAGAAATCCTAGTCAAGAGAGTTTTCTGCTTTTGTTTTACAACGGATTTTGTGTTTTCGGTGCAACAAATATAATAAAATGTTTAGTAACAAATTAAACTATATTTTATATTATAAGATCCATTAAAAATATAGCGACTATGATTTAAAGTATTTTTTTATTTAAAAATATATTAAAATAATTTAAAAAATATTTTTAATATTAATACATTAGAACAACTTGAAATTTTTTTAAAAAATATATTTACATAAAAAAATTTAAATTTTTTAAAATTCCAATTTCAATCATGTTGCTAAACGGTACTAAATGTTATCTTTATCATGATTCACCAACACTGTAAAGGGTTTTAATAGATTATATAGTTTTAAGAGAGATTTTTTAGTATCAATTTATATTGAAAAACCATTGTCTTTCCATGTATAAATTCAACAAAATAACATCGCATTAATTACGAATTTAGTAGCTTAGATTTCAAGTTAATTGTAGAAGAATATACCCATATTATGGATGGATGTGTTTTATTGTATCATATTTTTTCATAACTAAGAAATGCTAAGAAGTTATTGATCATTGATAAAATGAATTTTAAAAATAATTGTTATTAATTAAATATTAAATTATTAAGCCAATATTTTTTATAAAAGCCAAAAAACGCATGGGTATGCAAGTATTTAATAGCCATTTTTCTTTTAAATTTATGTGTTTTTATTTATTTTATTTTATCATGGAGGTTGTTTTTTCACATCATGAGCAAAAGATTTTAAAAACATTAATCATACAAATACACTTTATTTATATCAAATAAAAAAAAACAAAAACATAAATTATAAATTATAATGATCTCTTTTAAACATTATGAAAATAAAAAAATAATTATATAAACTAAAAGAATACATACAAAAGAAAGGAGCTCTTAATTAAAAAATTTGTAAACAATAATTAAAAAAAAAAGAAGGGAGACACTAGGCGCTACCAGGTTTAATAGGCAATGCCCTTGTGCTGGGCATGTGCGGGCATGGAAACCTAGAGCCA